TCGAGAAAATTAAATCTTATTAAATTATATTAAGTGCATATTTTTAATGTAATTAAAAATGTTTACTTGTTAAGATATTACACATAAAGAAGAAAAAATATAAAGATTTTGTTGAAATTAGGGATGATTAGATTCAAAGTCTTAATTCTGTCTTTAATGTGGCTTCAACCCTATGAAACATACAAATTGCAAAAAAGATCTCAAAAGCTTTGGCTAGATTTAAAGTTTTATCACAAAATTCTGCCAGCATACACTGATTTTAAAATTAATTGGATAAATCTTTTGCACAAGTTAAAAAGAAATATGAAGATTTTTTAAAATAATTGGACAAAATGAAAATACAATTATCAAAGATATTTCAATATATCTAAGTTAATAGGATTATTAATAAATTAAACAATTTATAAGTGATTAAGAAGTGGTATTAGTATTTCAATAATCAACAGGGGATCAGGAAGTAGAATTAAATTGGTATTTTTATATTAGTAATATTCTTAGAAACGAAATTTTAATCATTTATATCTATTTAATTATTATAATTAATTTGAAAATAAACGCTTGAGTCTTTAGACTTAAATAAAGCATAATAATAGACTCAAGGTCTTTAAATAGATGATTTAACCATACTCTAGTAAGGTATTTAATTTTTTTTAATTCTATTAAGAATATAATTAAACCTCTAAAGATGAAAATTAATTATGCTTAATGAGTAGAAATGTCAGTAGGCTAATGAATTAATAAATTAAAATATAACATAATTGGATTAATATTTATTTGCAACATTCTTTTAAAATACTTCTAAAATACTTGATATAATTTAGGTATATCTTTATAATTAGACTATTCAATTTTTATAATAGAAATGAATTAATATAAAGATTTATCTGATTATTCAGATCTAGAACTTAAAAGAAATCCATAAAATGCATTCATATTAATTGCAAAAAGGTAATGAAATTAAATAACTTCAAAAGGTTCTACATTAATATGAGTTGGGATATGTAATGTACTTTAAATGAGGAGAAAAAATATCACTTAGCAATTGAAAATGTGAAAAGTTTTTGAAAGAAGAGCCTTAGCATCTTCATGATTTCTATAGAAAATTTATTTATGCATTTTTAAAGTATGTTTTTCTTTATAATAGATATATCAATTTAATTATTATATATGATTTGAACGAAAATGAGTTAGCTATTTCGTGCATTGATAAAGCTCTTTAGAGTAATTCAAATTATATTATAGGTTAGAATAGCAAAAAATTACTTGGATTTTTATAAATAGGTGTTTCTTTACAATAGAGCAAAGTTGATTACGAAAAAGCAATCTAATTAGAGCCAAATCACAGAAATACCTCTATGAATAAGGGTTTAAATTTTTTGTATTACAATAGGTAATTCTTTTCTATTTAGCAAGTTGATTAAAATGAAAATATCAGATCTTAAAAAAACATAATGATGCAATTGTTTGCTACGATAAAGCAATCTAAATAGATCAGAATTACACAAATGCTTATTATAACAAGGCTTAATTTTTTTGTATTTTAATAGGTTTTGCTTACAATGTAAAAGATAGTTAAAGTAGAATAATTGAAAAAATATTATTTAGCTATAGAAAATTATGATCAAGCAATTAAACATTGCAAAACGAAAAAAGGTGAATTTAGAAAACTAATTTTGGAAATCAATATTTACAGACATCATTAACATAAAATTGCAAAGTTTAGACTTCGTCTTAGTAAATATTCTCCTATAATTTTGTCTTCACTTTTAATTAATTTATTATTTTTTTCAATGATCAATAATGCTTAGTTTTTAATTTTGCATATGTAAGCACTAATAATCAATAAATAAGCTTTTTAACTTATTTATGGAGATTAAATTTATTAAATCATTGATTTCTCTTACAATTGAATTTCAATTCATATAAAATCTGTTTCTTAAAATATTCATAAATCTATTTAAGAATAATTTGATTATCAAACTTCTTCCATATTTTTCTACTTAAATAAAGGTTATCCTTGATTTTCTATTTGTTAAATTTGAACAGAGAATATAAAAATGGAAGAAAAGTTGGTATTTGTGATTTTGAGAATTTCAATTCATAGATAGTATAATCCAAAAATCTAATTTTTAGGTGGGAATGCCAATTAATTTTTTATATAAATAACTAATCAAAAATAATTATTATTATTTAAGTGAAAAATTAAAGTTTTTCTAACTTGGTTTGAAATATTTCATAAATGAAGAGATTTAAAATGTTATATGAAATAATTTTAGATTATCACTAATAATAAAAATAATATAATATTAATTTATAACTTGTAATATCAAATTAACAGTTAATATTTTTATTCATTTGTAAAGGTCTTCAAGTTCAAACTTATATACTAAAGGAAATTCAAATCCTCTAAAAATATGAAAAATAATCGCTTTTAAGGGTTCTGTTCATAACTTAACCTAAAAATTAGTGGCATTGAGCTATTTCTATTGATAAGCTCAAAAGCCAGGTCCAATTTGATTTCAAATATCTAGAATGATTTAAAATTGGGTCTATGGATAATTTTTAAAAAAACTTTTGTGATATAGAAACACAAAGTAAACTTGAGGAATTCAATTATTAAGAAAACTCCAAACACAATATTCAGCAACTATCTTTAAATGTATAATTTTTGATCAACCCAAGTGTATGCACAAGACTTTTTTGAGGAATTGAACATCATTTAGTATAAAATTTGGTCAGACAAGACCATTACTTTGTATTTAATCTGTTTCTGTTTAATAAGACTTACTTTTTGCCAGTCTAAACTTTTTTTTCTAATTGATATTTTTATTATTTGATTAACTTAAAGAATTAATTAATCTTTGAATAGGTAGATTATATAATTAATATTTATATGATACTCACTCTCTAATTCATTACTTTCTTCTTTAATTTCTCTTGTTTTAGGAAAAATTAAAAAAGATAAACTATAATATTTTAATCAGTGCATTAATAATAAATTATGTTTCAAATATCACATTTATTTTCAAGCCTAACTAATTTAAATATTGTTAATACTTTTTTTTAAATGAACAAATTTAAAAATTACATGAGAAGCTTAAATATTTCAATCTATACTTGAACAAAAAATATAAAAATAATAGGAATGGTAACTTAATATAGAAAATAACTGAATGCCCTTCATATTTGATTTTCTACCAAAGAGTTTATTTCTCTTATTCTGCCCATCTCTTATGTTTGTAATCTAAAAAATAAATTTATTCTAAGCCAGCTTAGATTGCCCTCTCAATCTATTACTATTGTCTAATATGTATGAAAGGATCTAATGTCTTTCTATTGGAAGTAGATGTTATATGTAAATTTTGTATTCAAATAATAAAAAATATGAGAAAATAAATGGAGGTATTAAATTAAAATTCTACTAAATGAAAAATCAAAATAATATTGCTTTTTGTGCACAATTTAAAATCAAAGTTGTTTTTAAAATCCTTGTGATTTTTTCTTCGCTCAAGAATAATTTAAACTTCTAAATAATATATAAAACAGGAACTATATAAATTTCTATCATAGTTGATATTAATTTCTATAATGGCAAAAATAAAATCGGTAAAAAGAGTGGTAGATGGAAAAATGTAAATTTTTTGTTCCTAATTGATAAAAGGCTTTTAATAAATATTAATAAAATTAAATATTTGTTTTTCAATAATAATTATTATTTTTTTTGAGTGATATGGGTGATTATAAAGATGGTAAGCTAATTAGTGGTAGGTAAGAGGAGATTATGAGATAATAAAATATTAATGAAGGATTTACTAAGCTGTAATAATTAAAATAGTTGAGAATAAAATTATGAAGTATAATTGAATTAAATAAAATAGGACAATCTCATATGTAAAAGAATGAGAGATATCTTTTTTCATTATTATTTGTTTGTTTACTAGATTAATTCTATTCTAAATTTACTAAGAATTATCAATATTTTTTAAGATAAACAATAGAATTAATAAAATATATTTCAAAAGATTTTCGATTATGTAACAAATTAGGAGATCTATCTGATAAAGATGATTGACTAATAATAAGTTATAAGATATATAGAGAACTTCAAAAAGCTCAGTAAATTTGAGTAATTAGAGTTTTTAAATAGTCTACGGAATATTGAAATTTGAACTTCCTAAATCATAATTGTACTATATGCTAAATACATACGCCTAAACATCAAAACTAAATAAAGTAGGATGGCCTTAAAAAAACAATTCAAGACTAAAAATGTGTCTTTTTCCAAAAAAATGGCTATTTACGATCTCTAAATAAATTCCTTTAAAACTTAACATAAAACAAATAAACAAACACATTCTGAAACAGATTTTCTCAGTTTATATATATATATTTTTTTGATTCTCATTCTTTTCATTAACAAAGTATCTTAAAAGTTAAAATTAATATTATATTCACTGTTGAAAGAAAATAAATTAATAATGATTTATTAAAACCTTTAACAAAATTATTAAATTTTGGAAGTGTAAAAACATTTTTCCTAACGATTTCATGTATTTCTTAAATGAAAGTATTTATGTGAATACTCAAGCAATTCCACAAATTTAAAATTAATAATTTCTTGATCCTTTTATTTTATTTTCTTTAAGTGTTCCAACATGGAGTAGCTCAAAAGCTTTTTTTATAGCAAGAAATAATAATACGAAGTAAAGCCTAAATATAATTGAATTTTAAAAGAACTGATTGATATCATAAAAAAAATCATCACAAAATTAGCTTGTTTTAGGGTGTAAATGAATCATTTGAAAATATCATCTTTCTAATATTCGAAGTATAGTAATAAATTATTAATTTATATTCCCAGCATAGTGTAGGTTAAGTTAACAAAATAAATGAAACTGTGGTTTATTCAATATTTGGCATTTCTGGGATTCTTTTATTAATTGGTAATTACATAATGTTATTCAATTTATTAGACTTACTATAATCACTATCATATATTAGATATATGCTAAGTTAGTTATCATACTTTTTAATGTATATCTCTCAACTGATATATAATTAAAAAATTAAAAAAAGTTTAGAATTAGATTTAAGTAAATTGTATTAATTGTTATTCTTAATCAATTTTGAAAGGCAATTTGATTGATAGATATTTAAAATTTCTAAAAAATTTTAACTTTTATATATTTATAATTTGGATTTTGTAATATTGAATTTTTGAATATATAATTTAAGAATTTTACTTGAAACTTTATTAGAAAATAAAAACTAAGTAATTTCAATTATCCATCCTATTTTATATATAATGATCAATATATTTATAATTTGAATAATCATTGCTTCAATTTACACTAACAGATAGCTAAATTAATCTATTAGGATACCCTTTCTGTTAATTGTCCATTAATCATTAGGCAATATTTTTAATTGTTTTTCGTAATAAATCAAGGCTTCATAATATTTTTCTTAATTCTCTAACAATGATCCTGTAAAATAAAAAGATTCGATACCTTTACTTTAAAGTGAAGGGGTATGATTAGGATCAATTTAGAGTGCTTAGTCGAGGTATTTTAAAGAATCGTTAAATCGCTTCATTAATCTTAAACATTCTCCTAATTAGTATTACATTAAATCTACCTTTATTAAATAAAGAATTAATATGGTTGGAATCGATAGTTAATGCTTTATCTAACCAAGTGATTGCATCCTCATATCTGTTTAACAATCTTAAGCAGTCACCTAATAATGAAATATAAATTAAATCTACCTTTACTATATAAAGAATTTACATTTTTGTAATCAATAGTTAATGCTTTATCCAACCAAACAATTGCATCCTCATATCTACCTAGCATTCTTAAACAGTCCCCTAATAATGAAATATAAATAAAATCTACCTTTATTAAATAAAGAATTAACATGTTTGGAATTGGCATTTAAAGCTTTATCCAACCAAGCAATTGAATCTTCATATCTACCTAACATTCTTAAACAGTCTCCTAATTATAATTATTTATTGTTTACACCTTTGCACCATAAAGTCTAATAATTAGTAGGATCTAATTAAATTGATTTATCTAATAATTCTATTGATACATCATATTTGTGATCTTAATA